GTTGCTAGGATGACGTTTACGTGATTAAAATAAGTATTGTGCAACGGCCTCTTTAACGTGTGAGCCCAAGTCCGGCCATAAATTGGTATTTTCTGCTTAACGTGACATACACCAGCCATGAATAAATTTGTGATTATTTATTAATGTACGTGTTGACAGAATATATTGAAATTCCAATTTATCTAATTAGATAGATAATTGAGATTATTCAGAATCATTGCCTGACTAAACTGATAAGCTTTAAATTCCAAATAATATTATCATCAACACAAGTTAATAGATGATAATAATTTACAGTATCAGTTGTAAACTACATTATTGGAATTGTTATTAATGTGTTTTGCATGTGAGTAAAGCAGATTTTCACTTAGATTTATTGAAAAAATATATATTTTCAATATTATTTTTATTTAACTCGAACAAAAATATATTTAAGTAATTTTGTATTTTTTTTTTTAGTTATTTGTAAACACTTACGGCTATAACTATTACTGAAGAACAATACTATTTAAAGCGATGAAACCTAAACAACCAGCATAAGGATCAAAGATGTCACAACTCAATCCTTCATAAAATATAAACTATGCTTTCCATATTACCCAAGTCTAGATGTGATCGAGTAGAGAGTTTTTTTTTTTTTGTTTTTTTTTACTGTATTATAATGTATTACCGTGACAGGAATTGAACCCAGGATCCTAGGATTGGAAAGCAAGCATTATAACCACCAAGGTGAAATGCCACTCCAATTTTTCCAATATCACAATTTTTCATGTGCTCTGTTGTCAAACTCATTAGAATTTGCTATTTGCCCCATGAATGAACATAAATCTAATATAAACAGATAATTTTTATTTTGATGCCTTTAGGGGGTTAACCCGGTGTACTGGTTCATACAGCCCCTGTTGTGGACAGACGATAGAAATACAGGCCTAGTTCAGACTAGGTAAATAAACCTGACTCAACTCACCAGGTTTACCCACCTGCCAGTCTGAACTAGGTGGCTTAGCTCAAGCCGGGCTGCATTCCAATACTAAACAGGCCTGGCGTGCCACCGTGTTTAACTTTTCTAAGCCTGGCTTTAATCGCTGCTCGGGGGTCTTGCGTTGGCTTCAGGTAAAAAAATGACCAATCAGTATTCAATTACGTGTGCTGTGAGCGAACGTACGTTTGACGCGCAATGTTTCGAAACTCTTTACCTGGTTACGGTTCATTAATATGAAAATTCTCGTGCCTGGCTAATCCAGCTAGTCTGGACGCCCGGCAGAATTAAGCCGGCCTTAACCTTGAGCTGTGCTAAGGCAATCCTGGCTTATCTCCAAGTCTGGACGTAGCCACAGTACACTAGCTGGTACCGGTTTACCGGGTAGCTTACTTTAGACACAAAGAGACCCTTGGGGTGGAGAAAGTTACTGTGTGAGCTAGTCCACACCTTGAGCACTTATTACATTACATTATATTTAGCTTTGGAATACTTAAAGATTAATTCTTGTTTTGAAAGTTAATGTAAACTTAATTACTAAGTTATATAATGTATTAATTAATTTATTATTATTAACTAAAAAAAAAGTAAATGTTTGATTTATTAAGATATTTAAACTGATTACTCAGGGAAAGTCAGATTTTTATTATTACTTGATTATGCTCAAATTTTACTGGAATGTTAAAATATACTTTAGAAGCCATTAATGGTGTGAAAGTTAACTTAATCAAAAATTTGAAAATTATTTTTTAACCTCCTATCATCACAAATATTCTGATTATAAAACCAAATCTGATCAATAAAAACCAAAGTGAAGGGAATGAAAATTATTACCTGTACATGCTGTTACAGTGACTAATAATTCACAGATAATTAATATGCTAATAGGGTTGTGGTGTGATCATGAATCTTCTTGCCATCAAAATTAAATATGAAATTTAGATATGAAGGGATTTGTTAATTTTAAGATAATAAGGTCTGATTTTTTTCACAAGTTTGTTTGCCTTTGAAAACAATGAAAGTAGCTCACCTGAATGTAGTTTTAGCAATAAGACATTAGTGCCCATGAGCAAAGGTTTTGGAAGTGTTGAGTTGCAGGTGTGTGGGAAAATGATGGAAAATAAGTCCCTCCCCCATGATGAAAAAATTTGTTACTATAAGTGTGTTAAATTACTAAAAAATGACCATTCGGAAAAGTTTTCATTAGAATAAGGATTTAGTTTTATATTCTCAATTTTCACACCCATCCAGGCTGAAACCAGCCTACTCCCCTGTTACAAGAAGAAAAGTATTTAATTTTTTCAGAGACGAAAATGTTTAATTATGACAAATAATAAACACTATAAATTATTAACTGTAGGATAGAAATTATTGAATAATTAAATAATGTGTATCCAGACTTTTTAACTGGATAATGGGAAAAAATAATAATAAAACACTTTTTTCAGTCATTTTTTGGTGTAAAGAGTATGGGGAGACATTTTTTAAATACACTAATTTGTTGATAATTTTTATGTAATATCAAAATGAGCAAGTTAATTTCAAGAATGATTTTTATATTTTTTGGTACAGTATTTTGCATGGACAATGCATCATAATTAAAAAAAAAGTTTTTCGCTAGTCAGAATGAAGAAAACGTTTCGCTAGTCATGATGAAAAAACAAAGGAAGCTATTTGTGAAGTTCTCTAATGAGAAATAGTGTTTATTAGTCAAAAAAATAAACAGCTTCACTTGTGACTTGTGACATTTTGACTAGGGAACCTGTTGTTAAACTCACAGCACTCCTTTTTAATTGAAAGTGACTGCTCTGTGAATAAAAAAAGGGAATAATTTTGGTACCATCATGATTACCAAAATAATGAATAGAGTTTTATATGCCCAGTAAGTCTTTTGTAAGTTATGACTTATGTACTTTATGAATAACAACCCTAATGTTATGATTTTTTTGAGCATGGACATTTTGTGCTCCAATTCTCAGCTACCCAAACATTTTTATCTGAGACCCAAGTTGTAACATTGCACACTATTTTATACATTGTTTAGCAAACTATAATGATGATTTTGAATAAATCAATTTAATTTTTGGTCAATTAGGGCACCCACCGCCACAAAAAAAATGGGAGGGGGAAAAAATATTATTTTTATTACTGTACGCCTTCCCTGCCTTGAAATCTCCAAAAAGAAAATGTATGCTTCTTTATTAATAAAAAATATAAATTTAAAGCATTTTCCTATCCTAATGTTACTACTGTTTAAATTCACCAATACCCTTTTATTTTGATTTCTTCCTCTGGGTGTTTTTGGCAAAACCATTTGATAAAATAAAGAAATATATTTTTCCCCCCTTATCCGAGGATCTTTAAAAAAATATAAAAAGGTATAAAAAAAGTCTCACCTAAACTGACACCTTCAGTTCATTTTAAGCATGTCTTGTTGTTCCTTCCATGCAGCGGAATTATGTTATTGATTTGTAACATGATAGTATAAACTGGAGCCTTAAGCCTATTTAAAAATTGATGAATAAAAATTCAATAACAATACATGGCCAAATAACAAAAAATCTTGTTTTTCTCTTGTTTAAGTAGTTTGATGGGAATGGCACTTTGTTACTATTCAATATCGGTTATTTTTTGATGCACTAGAATAGTTTTGTCACATTGTCACTTGCATAGTCTTCAAAGTTACTGTTTGCTATACATAAATCTCTTTGTTAGTCTATGTTAGTTGATCAGAGGACCAGACTATAGCAATCAGGCCAAAGAGAGATTAACTCAAGGTTCCTCTGCAGTCCATCGCTCTTTTCTTTATCCAGTAAACAGTGCTTTAAAGACAAATCATTGTTGATCTCATTTTGTCTTCGGCCATCAACTTTAAGAATACATCCATTACTATTAAAACTCATACAAAGTAGCAATTTTTGTTGTCGTCATTATAAATAAAACAGTTGAATTGATTTCCTATCAAAAACACTGGTTCTGTAAACTTAATTTTTTTTAAATTATTCTATATAAATTGAATTCTTAAAAATTATTCTATAAATTAATATTTTTTTTTAAAATCATTTTTACAGTATATTGTTTGTATTGTATGGCAATGGAAGATGAATTTTCTTGTTTTTATTTTGCAAGAACAATAAAAGTTATTTATCTTTAAAACAAAGTTACTTATCTTATCAACGATTGCATGATAATTCAAAAGTTTTGTTTTCACTTTCAGTTGCTAAATCTACTTTTTTTTTGTTTCACTCTACAGTGGTCTGGCTCTAACCTGAGATAATATTATAAGATAGATATAAATTTGTTTAGTACATTTTAGAGGGATTTTTTTGTCAAGCTAAAAGCATGAGAGAGACACCAATTCATGGATCACAATACAGGCCTGAACGTTATACAATACTGAACAAAATGTAGCCACAGTTGAGCAGTGTCAATTTACATCACAATTGGTTCTTTTAATGTATTTCTAGTGTGTACAGTACTGTAGGCTTTTGCATTTCTAACCTGAGAATATTCTGATCGGGGGCCGGGACTACAATTGACAAGTGCATTACCAATAGAAACTAGATACATTTTTTCCAAAAGAATAATGCTTTGTTAATTTTAATGCACAATAGAAGAACTACTAATAATTTTGACAAGAGCACCCCCCCCCCCAGTTCCAGGGGTGCCGGGACTACAATTGACAAGTGCAAACAGTGATGGAGCCATTGTTTAGCAGTGAGCCTGCTATTTGTCAAATCTCCCTCCTTCATTTTTGTTGATTTAGGTCAAAAGTGGCAAAAATGTTTTTTGATGAAGGTGCCATGGGGCTAAGATGGGCACTTAAAGCTTTCAGCACTTGATCACACTGGACTTCTGAAATTGTCAGACACCATTGAGGAAATCCTAGTGTCGCTCTGCTGATTTTAAACGTATAATCATTATTTTTAAATTGATAATACAGTAGTAATAACAGTCGTTTTTAAGAACTTTAAATTCATGTATTTATTTTAACCTTTCTACAATTTTTATTTTCTTTTAGTGAAATGTCCATCACCTTTTAAAAATCGTGATTTTTTAATGCAAAGGATATGGCTGGAAACACTAGACGCTTTTTACATTTTCAACCATTCGGTTTTTCACAAGGTAAGACTGACTGATTTCGAGCAAGGCATCCAAACTGGATGCCATTTTTTTTCCCACATATCCGCCCATTGTAAAGCACTGGTAGACACTTTGTCAGCATCTACGGCCAAACACTATGTCAGTTACGTTGGTTTGCCTTGGGACGGCCACAAAGCCATTCCATGAGCAGCGACAACACACACACGGCGGGCATTGGCCTGGGCCAGAGGTTACATGTTACCATACTTTAAAGTTATTCATTTGCGCTGGGATACATCAAAAATAACATTTGCGCTGTTGCTTCCGAGTATTTTGTTAATTTTATTGCATTATATTGGTATTTATTTTTATGTTAACCTGGATGAATGAGGTTTACAAACTTTTTGTTTATTAAGTTCACTTTTGCGTCCCTGCCCACTTTAATTGTATTGTGACCACCACAGTATTGTAGTCCTGTTACATGTGGGTTTTTTTTTTTTTTCAAGTGAATAAAGAATAAGATATTAATCGTGCGCAGAATTGTAACTTGTAAATTAACTTGTTTATTGAGTCGTAATCTGTAGCCTAATTTCATTGCGCAATTTGCCTAGAACTCAGCCCCTTATTTTCCAAATGTGAAGATTGATGTAGGCCTAAATTTCTGTGCAGAGAAATCTATATTCCCTCAACAACACAATGCCTCTATCCGATACAGTACACAGTGTGGTACTGTATTTGATATATCCAGTTTATTTTTTTGTTGTCAGTTATTAAATTGTTAACCTATATTTTAATCAACCAACTCTATTAAAATACTTGAGAACAGGTTGTGCTAAGTATTGTGGCTAGTGTTCCAAATTCATATGTGGGAATAACAGAATAGACTTAAAAAAAAAAAAAAAAAAAAACCACTATAATTTGTTACAGAACTGGCATGTGTTGTATTGATCCAATATTCTAGAGAAAATGAATGCCTTATGATGCATCAGTAATTTTATGAATGATTAATGTAGATTTATTTTTTCTACAGGTTAAGCTGTGTTGGTCTTTTATATTGACAAAATTATGCTTCAGTGAATTTAAAACTGGGACTGAATTGTGAAATTGTGTTCTTAGTTTTATTATAGAAATACAAATTGTCTGATTAGGGTACTAACTGCACATAAAAATTAATGTTGTTATTTTGTATGCTGTCAGTAGTCTGCAATGCCATTCAAGTGGATTTATCATTCATAAGCTTTGGCTATGTAGTCCATCATTCCCTTTCAGTCGTAGAATTATCAATTTTAATAATAGCATTGCTGATAGAACTAACTAAGTTCCATATCGTGTCTTTCAGGGGCCTTGATCTTCAGTCTTCTTTAAGTTAAAAGATTGGGCGAACATTCTGGTATTCTCTTTATTTTGCCATTTAGTGACCTAGGCGCCATCTACTAGAAATGCTAAGATGATAATGTACCGTAATAAAAGTCATTTGCCACTTAGACATCAGTGGTCTCAAACTAGTCTCTCAAGTCTCGCATTTGACAAACAACATTGGTTGTATTACCTTATTTATTTGAATAAACACCCTGCTTTAAATAAACTCTCCCTCTAGGGCCTCATTTGGAATAAACACCTCTCTCGAATAAACGCTCAGGGATGTTTATGTTTATGTTTAGTAATAAATGCTATTATCCCCTCTCTGAATGACTGTAAACAAATCTAGTAGAAGGAACATAAATCTCAGTACATTCTATTATGGTTCTACTACATAGAATTACATTTTTACTAACCCCATTGAGATCAATAAGTCTTTATGATCAGGCAATAACACATTTTAACGGTAATTATGTGTATTTTTTAGTGAAGTTAAGGGATGTTTTTTTGAGTATATCATATTTTTCAGCCCCTTTCATTGTGGATCATGTTTTACCACCCACAAAGAAGTCACCATAAAGGGTATAAATATTATGTAATGTTTTTCTCTTTGTATTTGTAAAAGATTTCACTTATTTACAGTAATTTGGCATGATGATGATGTCAAACTACACCCAAATATGGACATATCAAATTTGATTTGTAACATAAAATTTCATAGTGTGGATCACACTGCTTAAACTAGATAACAACCTTCTGTTGATATTTCATTGTAGGATGTTCCAGAACGAAAAGGAGTGATACGAGCAGAATCAATTTTGACCGGTTATCTAGTAAGGTCTAATGGGAAAGGATGCGAGTTGACATACGTCACTCAGTCTGATCCAAGAGGTACAGTGGTTCCTGTCTTGCAATTTAATCAGGGACATCTATTCCATAATAGTGTAACAGTAGCACTATACGTAGCAAGTCTTAAGTGAAGACATAGATATAGATAGTGGAATAGGACGATTGTTCTGCAACAATCGTCTCGCAACGCTCTAGCCCAAGCTTTAGAATCAGCTACTAAAGGATGTAGTGGACTCTCAAAGTTACCTTTATATTAAGGGGAGTTAGAGCGCATAGAGACGTAATTATAATTTGCGTTGTGTAACAAATTATTATTATTATTATTATTATTATTATTATTATTATTGTTATTGTTATTGTTATTGTTATTATTATAATTATATAAAAGGCACAGAAAAGACCAACACGATTGGCTAAAAGATCTGGTGAGTATTACAATAGAATATCATAGGGAGCAACATCAGCACCATAAAACTACCGTATATTACCATACACTTGCATCAATGCCAATGCTACAAAAACCTGACTCAAATCTCAGTATTATTGTTTAAGATTTCATCAGTGATGAATTTTATTTAAATTTTTTTACATCTGCACACTCTAACATGATGCATTGTTTTTTTTTTGTATTATTATTTTTTCAGGATCTTTGCCAAAGTGGATTGTCAACAAACTTACACAGTACCTGGCCCCAAAGGTATGTATCACGATTGATTGCGCCTCTAGCTTGGAGGCTGGTACACAAATTCTACATAGAACAAGAAGTCAAGTGAGAATATGAGCCTGTGAATTAGCAATGGACATTTCCGCTAAGCCGTGACTCTTGGATATCAGGGGTCCAAGTTCTCCCGGAAGGCGCGGGAGTCTCCCGGAATATAACCTATCTCTTGCAAATTCATAATATCTGCATATTTTTATTACTTTAGTATCAACTGTCTCACGGAAGTCAGTGCCAATGGGTATCATCATGCGTAGCAAAATTAAATTAAATGTGTTCAAGAAAAGCTCATTTGATTAGATCTCCCGGATTGGATTGTTTCTAACCTGGGACCACTAGGATATTGTTGTTGTCCCACAAAACATGGCTTCACCTGCTATTATTCAGTATAGTCTTGAAATATACACTTTATTTATATAAAATTTACCTGTAATAATCCGGAACTATCAGGTTATGATGAGTCAAGGTGTCTGCTACATGAGGGAATAATTATTCAATGCATTAATGGACTAATCTAATTAAAACCTTTGTATGTCTCAACATCACTTGAGATATACCTGAAGGCACTTGATGAGTACATTTCTCAAAATTTCAGCAACGAATGCTCACCCAACACACCCAGGACATAATAGCAAGTGTTCACTCCTAGCCAGACTATCAAATTTTATTTCAGAAAAAAAAAATGTGACATACCTAAATATGGTTATAGTGATATCACATCATGACTATATATATCCCAGGTTCTTAATAGGCAGCAAGCAGGCCAATTTTGGCCATTTAAATTAAATTAAAATTTTGCCATTAAATTTGGCCCATGTGGAAAAAATTAAATTTAAAAAAAATAATAGTAAATCATTTGATAAATAATGTTATCATTATGAGTGAATACATAAACGCACCCCTTGGACCATGGCCACTAACAACATTTAAGGAAAAGTCAAATGTGTGAACGTGGCTCTTGTTGCATAGAAGATGAACATTTGCACATTAAGATAGACTTGCATACAGCAGTTTTTTCTCAAATAATCTAGACAAGGCTTTAGATCTTAGACAAGTATAATATTTCCTCTTATAGATGATGAACAGATTACACAAAGCATGTTTGAAATATCCTTCATGGAAGAAGAAAAACAGCCCGTATTACAAACCATGGTTAAACCCGGAACAGCTCAACATTCCCAGGCTTGACATGAATGATCTGCTACCGAGGCAGGAGTACACGGATGACGATTCACTGGACGAAAGTCAAGTTAAAGAAGACGACATTAAAGAGGACGACATTAATTGCAATGACATTTGACGATGGTTTGTTGTCGGTAACCATAGAAACATACTAGGATGTTATCAGTTTCAAAGAATTTCTTGTCCACCAATTAAAGTAGGTCGGTTGTTAAAAATCTGATCCATAATAATATATTCAGAACAAAAAGATAGAATTGATGCTTTAAACAAAATATGTATTTGATTAATATAGGAATTTGCAGTGGAAAAAGATTTTATTGCAACAGTGTTCCCTGTATTGTAAAATAAACTTTCATTACTCCTGTTAATTAGTTATTGAAAATTATTATAATTAATTATTTATTGATATCAAATATAGTTGAAAGTAATGTTGCCATTTGCTGGATGGTAGATGTTGTTAAATTGTGTTTTTCTTTATTTTCAGTCATCTTTTACCAGGTTAATTGTATCCCCCCACCCCTTTATTTATTATCATTTCAACTATTATTGATAGATGACAGTCCTATTTCTAATTTAACATTACTATCTTGTCCAAATCTTTCAGCCATTTGTAGTTCTAGATTCATCTTCTGTTTCTTGTTATGATAAAGTATTAATGTCTATTTATATTCTTATTCTTAATGAATTTTTAATTTGTCCTCATTCTAACTCGAAAATCATAAATTTGGGCTATGGCCCTTGGTGTGTGCAGCAGCTGCAGGCCATCGACACGCGACCTAACCACAACATATACTGAACACACATGGTTACAACCACAAACATGGTCTCTAACCCGACTAACTCTCAATTAAGTGTTATTTTGGAAGCCGAGCACTCAGACTCTTGGTAAAACCTGACAATAATAAAATAAATATCTGTAATTTTCTGTATTATTATCATTCAGCTGTGTTGCTGGCAACTACAAGTTGAAATGAGAAGTATTTCATTCATATGTCATCTTCTATGACAGTGCGACTCCACACTTCAGTTTAGGTGCTAGCTTTTAGTTTTTTTGTTTGTTTTTTTTTTTTTGCTTCTTTATCCATTTTTGACGTCTTCTTACCTCTTTCTGAGATCTTGTTTATTTGCACTATATAAATACATCTGTTATTACTATTATTGGTCTTTTAAGTGAGATGCCATAACTTAATCCAAAAAATGGGTCATGTATAAAAGAAAATAACAACCTTTAAATAATGTTTCTTAAATACTTTTACCCCCTGAGTCAAAGTGTTTATTTTGCCGGCTATAACTCAAATTGTCCTATCTTGGAGTGCACCTCACTAATCATTAAAAATGTTCTCAGTGGATTAATATGTATTCTACCAGCTAAATATTTACTGTCCTAAATTTAATGATTGAATTGCTTACTTCAAAATTTCGAAATAATTTAAAAAAATATTTTTATTTTAAGACGGATAATATCACATTGATTATCCTTAAATGAATAAATAATTTCCATCTGTATCAAATTGGAAGTTTGATAATTTATTTGACTCCTTGAAGATCTTGCTCATTTTGCAGGAACATACACATTATGAACTTGAGCATAAAAATTATTGAATGTAACAAATGTGTACCCTGATTTTTATAGTGGATAATGACAAAAATAATAAAAACGCTTCCAGTGACTGGAAGCTTTTTTTTTTCTTTTTTTTTTGTCGCTGTAAAATTATGGGTAAACATTTTTAAATACACTAATTTCACATTTTCAAGTGGATAATTTTTATGTTTTTCAAATGAGAAGGGGTTTGGAACCTACAATTTTTCCTCATAGAATAAATAAGTTCTTCCAACTTGGTACCCCTGAAATGAGCCAGTTAATCTCAAAAATGATTCTTATATCTTGGTATATTTTTGGGACAATGCACCTTTAACTTAATAATATATACAGTTAATATTGAATGAAATCATCCATTATAATTACAGCATGATGATACTTTTAGCGGTGAATGTATTGGTTGTCACTTTCACAGAAATTGGAATTCACAACATAGGTCCAAAATCGCTTAAGGTTTATCATAATTTGTTCCATTTTATGTTTTGTTTTGTTCTTTTCACTTGCTGTAGGTGTTAAAACTTAATAGATTAAATACTTATGTTGTTCTATAGTGGGGCCATATCTTGCAGGAAAATAATATGAAACATAATTTCAACAAATGAGGCATGTCATGGCAAAATGGTTTATTTATCGCACAGGCCTGTATTGAATAAATGAGCTATAAATATGGGAGCTCAAAAATGGCCAAAAAAAATCTGTTCACTGTAAGTCAACAGTTTAATGTCTAATTAATCTTATCCCAAAATCTTAGTTTTGGAAATGGTAAACAAATTTTTATTTAATGTTGTTTTGGTAGTTAAATCTATTAATGCACAAATAAATATTTAAAAGGGGATTACAAAAAATCATGTTTTTCTTTACTCTAAGAGTGTTGTGCATTCACTTCTCAATAACTAAGGCTTGAAAAGTCCAATTTCAATATATGACCCCTCATTTTAAAGATTAAGTTCTCAGTTATTTGAAAATACCAATAACTTGAATTTCAATTTTTAGAACAACTTAGCCATTTTGCCATAACATGCCTCAAATGTTGTCATTCACCTGTATGGTTGAAAACTTGTGTGGTTTTTCGAAAAAAAATATAAAAGTAGTAGGTTAAGAAATGTCTTTGATTTTGTGTAGCTTAAAATTTTACAATTTAAGCAAGGGTAATAACAATTAAAGTAAATACAATTTCTAATATTACTGTACTAATTCGAGGACATAATTTCTGTTCTATAAACAATTTGTATTGTGTTTGTCTGTATCTCCTCAACCCATTTGCCCAACATCACTCGTTTTCCCATTGTCTTACAGTTAACCCACTCTCTCTCGTTATTGCAAAGGCAATTCCATTATAAGTTTATTCAAATTATTATTGGTTACCATGGAAATAGACCATATTACTTTAATACATTGTTGATTCAAGCATATAATGTCCTGTGGGTATACATGAAAACATCTCTCTCTACTTTGTAATTAGCTAATAAGGCATACCATCTTGAGGGGCTGTGTTGTGTACAAGAAATATCAACCCTTCAATGTAATTTTCCCATCAAAGTCCCTTTAGTTGATCCGTCATCTTCAAAACTAGAGGTATAGATTCCTACTTATCTCCCACTTATATACCAATTTGTTTAATATAATGATTAAAAATTATTACTTATTAGTTAATTATCAGGAAGAGGCTTATTATTTATTTATAGATTAGAATTCAGGGGTCACATCAAACCTGAAAAAGGATGACAGATTTGACTAAAATTTTTTGCAATCATCAGCAATATTTTTGTGTCATGTACAATTTCTGGTTTGGACAAAATAGTGGAAGTATTGATCTTGTATTTAGGCTAACTGCTATATCAGCTCTCAATATCTGTCTCTTATACACATCTAGATGTGTATAAGAGACAGGTATTGGGTGTTGTGTAAGAAAGAGTCTAATGCTTTAGTTCCTCTAGTATAAACCTCCTCCCCTTTTTCATTGAGCACAAAATTGTGCCAATTTTTGAGGGTGGGCTTAACCAGGCAATCCATTAAAAAAAATTATATAATATATTTTTTTTTAAACTGACAAATGACACCAGTCAAAAGTCTATTGTTCAACACTATTATATATTCAAAGTCAATAAGTTTAAATTCAGGTGAGCTGCTCTGTGCTGTATTGTTCAGGGAAAATCTGCTGAGCTTACACTCAGGTGTGGGCTTACACAAAGTGGGATTAAACCTGAGGTGGGCTTATAGCCAATGTGGGTTTACACCTGAAGTGGGGTTACACCAAAGTGGGACTTATAGCCAATGTGGGTTCCTGCTGGTACCAGTGGGACTATGATAATTGAAACAAAAATAGCATGTTTGTTTATTAGCTTAGTTTTTGTTATGAACTGCAGGTATTTTTTATTTATTTAAATAATAATAGGTTGGATAGATTAAACTAAAATTTCAGGTTTACGTGAAGCAGTCTTGTGAATGTCTTCGTGAAAAGATACTAGTAATGATACATACGCAATTTTCAATTCTTATGACTTTTTTTATGTTTCCTTATCATTCATATCAAATTAATATATTTTTGCTATCTATTAAATGAGGAATTTACTATGAATTTTAAAATGTTGGAAACATAGCACTTCTGGCATAATAATTAATAACACTAACAGGCAAAATATCAGGGTACATTCATTCCCAATTCATACCTGTCACACCCCTAGTATAGGGTGAGCCCAGCTCATATATGTAAGGCAAATTAATCTTTAAAAATTCAGTAAAATATAAATGTAATTTCTGTAATTTACCCACTGATATAGTACAAACTATTGCAGAGCTTTCCAAAATGGGAGAGTTATGTCATCATATTTTTTGAATTATTTAATATTTCATTAATAACTATATTCATGGGTTTTTTTTTCTTGTTTGTTATATGTTCTGTTGAGGTATGTTGTCCAGACTCGTTGAGTATATTAGCAATCAGAAAATTTCAGTAGATAGTGTTTAACCCACCCTTAATTAAATCCAAATTATATAACATTCCAATTTGTAAAAATGTCAAACCTTATTTAAGGTAATTGTTTTAAATTTCAATATCACTGTATATGAACATTCCTTAATATTGCTGTCTACATGTAGGCGCAAGTATGGTTGTCCATTTTAAAGGTAGATGACATTCTATGGGTCAAATACAGCCGAAAAATGTTCTTTGGATTCCAATTGGAAGTGTACACGTATGTAATAATAAGGAGTCTGCCCTCTTGAACAAATTACAAATTGACTATCTATGCATTCTTCATAGTATGGTTGAAGCCCCTGCTTTGACTGGGTCTTTTTTCCGTAAAATTTAAAGAATTACAATGATGGTACATGCTTCAATGAAGCATAAAGCATGGTTTCCATACAACCGCTACACACTACCACCAACAGCTTTTGGTGATGCTGATTGTTCGGTTTAATCGGGGAACCTTCCCGATTGCGTGGGGGCTGCCACACACTACGATTGCACTGAAAGCACTGTAGCTACAGTGTAGAAATTTTGAAGAAATGTATTTTTGATGAAATTTCACCTGGTTTCAATATGATAGGTAGTAATAATAATATTGATGTGCACTCTTAAGTTGGATTCCACTGATCTTGGAACATAATCTTTCTAAGAATAAAAGAATTACACATAAAGTAATCTGTGTTGTTATACAATTACATTCTAGCCTGCTGATGGCCAAATTATTATACGCTCTAGTAACAGTATAGTGTTTTACATATCTGAAATACATTGTCATAAAAGTTGTTTTCTAATCGACAGAGTTTAAGAAGCCAGTAATTAGGGCTGCTAGAATAACACGTCTTCCAGAGAATTTGGTGGTGAACGTAGCATTTTAAGAGGAAACCATTTTAAATTAGATAGCAAGTTTTGGTGTCTTAAAAATATCTGTGCTTGTTTTAGACATACCACCAATAGCTGTTTTAAACCAGTAGTTAAAATCAGATAGCCCTTGATATTTCCAAAGCTGTTCACCTTATGTATTGCGTGATGTTGAATTTGGTTTTTACACACTACGTTATTATCAGAATATGTCTAGAATAGTGTTTTTGTGACCTGTTTTTTTGTGTGTGTGAAATACTATTTAAATCACATTTATTATTACTATTAGTATTAACCAACCAGTAAGTGACGTATCTACAGGGGCACCCACTAGGTGCTTAGGGGTATATTCTTCCCCACAAAAAAATATTGCACACCCCCCCCCACTCCCCAAGCAATTCTCACTGGAAATTTACTGAGTAAAATCTTACACTCAGATAGTTAAAAATCTTATCAATTTATTTTACAAGCTAACTGCTATATCAGCTCTCAATATTTGGCTCTCCACTTTAAGCTTTAACATGCCCTTATTCCAATCAGCACCCCTATGTGAATACTCTAAGATACATCACTGCATCCTATATAATGTAGTGTTCGATTTACTTAGGAATTCTACTAAAATGAAGGGCACGTTGGGTCATTTGTAAGCAGCGGAGTATCTAGCAGTTTTTAAATATGAGGATGACTTATGGGTGGGGTGATAATAATGAGGTGATCGAATGACCGTAATTATTTTTCCTTTAAACATTTCTAGTACAAGAGCTACTTTTTTTGGGTGGTAGGTGGGTGGGTGGAGGTGGGGGGGGGAAACAATCTTCACACACCTCCTAATCACTGTTTGTAAAAGGAAGGTCAGTATATCAGTGTGCCAATACACTGAACTATGTCAAAACTAAACTGAAGTTATACTTAGCAATTGTTTACTGTATATTTCAAATTCTAGTTATCTTCACACAATTTTTTTTACTATATTAAACACTTTTTTCCTGGAATGGAGATGCCAAAATAGATATGCAGAAGGGGTGCCTTATAGTAAAATATATCTGCTTAATTCCAGGAAATATTTATTAGAATTGTATATAGACTTTCTTATATAAACACGCAACTCACAATAATGTCTGATACTGTACATGTATGGTAGCAAATAAATCTATTGAGAAAAGTGTTAGAGAAATGATGCTTTGTTTTGCTATAATTTACTACTACTTTGAAGCCTTCATACCAGTTTTTAGTACTGTAAATGATTTAGTCAATAATGATTGGTAAAATGTGAAAATTAGAGAGGAAAATAGACTTGTGCTCATAATTTAATTTTCACCTCAAAAAGCTTTTTCCCTTAATGTCCTCATTCATTTTTTGAAAGAATTTGTTGATAGACAAATAAGTAAAAGAGCTCTGTTGGTATAACAACAATTTTCTACTTGATGTACAGTAGGTGTTTCAAATGACAGAGAGGAGAAAGGATGGTTAAGAAATATAATTATATGCCATACTGTAGAATTATCAAATCATTTTAACCTCCACCAGGCCCAAATCACAAGGAACATATCATTATGGAAGTTGGGTAGAAACATGTTTTAGTTTATAGGATTTCTCATTGCTTCAATATTATTCTTCTTTTGGCCCTTATAGTATTGCATTGTTTTGTAATGTTTGTATTATCATCGGTCAAATTTTGTGGTGTAACTGATGTTCATTTTATTCTTATGGATAGTGCATTAAAATAGAAAATTGATTTATTAACTGAATTATTTATATAAAACATGTAAAGGTTGCTATAGGCACATGTTTGTGAGAGATATACAGTATAGGCAAGCAGGAGCATATCAGGATGAGTGTGGCAGGAGCCAAGACGTTCTATTAACAAAAATCTCAAACATTACCCCTTTCCAGTGTATAGTGCTTTGCACGCCATATGGCCTCCCTACCTTTATTTTCTCTGGATCTGCCCCTACAAGGTATATGGAGTGTATTTTCATAGCTTTCAACAATTAAGCATTTTTCTCGCCATTTTACAGATGTTTATAATACTATATACCTATAGTTTAGTATTTGCACCATTACATTTCTGTCAGCATATGAAAGAACTTATGTAGTGAAATGTTTGTAAAGCTTTGAAGTCTATTTTTTCACCACCATTTATCTGGTTGTTGTAAGGATTATAATGAATAGATTATCATAAAATGTACTGTTCTCAGACATATTGGTCTGAGAACGGGCTGTAAAAAGGTAAAGGGTCAAATGTGAAGGACAGAAAAGTCAAAATCTTACATTACGTAATGTTGTAAAGGTTTTCAATCTTTAAAGTTTTTTTTTTTTTTTTTTTTTTTATTGAAAGTAAATAACATTATGAGTATTTCATAATTTTATTTTATTTCTAAGGTTTTTTTTATTTATTTATTTATTTATTTTTTAAATGGCTGTATATCCTTATACATTCATTTTTTATTTTATGAACATACATGTACTTTTGAATGATTTGTGTATACTCATTTAGGTATTTTGTCTTCTGCATCTTTATTTATGGTAAGATGAATTGTACATATCATAACCACTGTACCAGTGGCGGTTCCGGCAGGTGTGAGCTAAATTTTCCCTTATCGTACGCAAGCCTGAGTCTGTGTCGTTCATTGTTAAGACAAGGTTATCACACTCGAACTATTAATTTGCCAATTCAAACAATCCCCAATACTGTGTCTAAAACACAATTTTTGAGCCATCCTAACTTTATGCGTCCCCTTTTTGGTTTGGACCCCTCTGTCGGCCAATTTCTTGAGCCGCCACTGATATTGTACTTGCAGTATCTACGATTATGGTTTAAGTTGACATATAATGGTACTGGGTACAAAAAGCCACTTTTTACAACATTGACTTCATATTATTTTTGCTGGCCTTCAAATTCTATAAATTTTGAGGTCAACCAACTAAATATAAAATATCATTAAGTGTTTGATTTCATGTATAGATTAATGTCAATAAGAATTTTTTTGGAAATATGAAATGTTCATTCCATTTTACATATTGAAGTGCAACAATTTAGGAAATATTGTAAGAAGTTTTTCAATATGTATACATATCGAGTACTGCACTTCTTATGCAAGTATTGCTCTATATTTCACAAGGTGTGGGGTTGTGTGGTTGAATTTATCTTTCTATATGCAAATTTAATGCATCTTATTGAGGTACAGAAATAGAATATTATCTCTTAGAATATTGAATAATAAACTTGATTTTAAAATATCTTATTTATTTTATTATTTGTTTTGTTGGTGTTGCATATGCTTTTAAAATTAACCATAAAAGGTATAGATTTTGGAACTGCAAGATTACATTTTTTTTTATTTCTCTGTAAACAATATGTGATCATCGAGATGAAATAACGACACAATATATAAATTATCAGGGATTTCACATATGATATTTACTAACTCAATTTATGTGGAAAGTAATCAAAGTAATTATCTCTTGTGAAATTGGCCACATATCAGGTGCACTTCACCGACGCCTGACCCAATATCGGGCCAATGATTGAGTATTATGTACAAATCTCTGATATTTCTCCACCACAAATTAAATCAGGAACCTAGCTTGAAAGCAGACTTGACTTTATGAAATCATGATTACCAATACAAATAGAATCGTAATGGATTCAAATGAGGACTGCAATTATCTGCGTAGTATACTTTGATATGATTGTTGATAGCATATTGATTTGTGACGGTATTCAGGAAATTGTGGGGGAATTGCGATTTGTTAATAGTGCAGTTGTGCATAAATAACAAGTAATTGGTAGTCAATGTGATGTGTGCAGTGGTGTGCGTGCTGATTCATGTCTGGCTATTTTAAGGTTTACAGTAGTGTTTGGTGATGTTTCTCCTTTTTGGCGCCTTTAAGTACTGCAGTGAATGTGCACTTCATGTCATTGTTGCTACTGATGATGCTGCTGTCGTCGTCTCATTTTCAAAAGGCACCAGTTTGCCCTCCCTGTCCACTGCCAGAAATTATTACCATACTGTCAGAGAGGGCTAAGCCCTTAAATGGACATCCCTCTAGGCTGGAGATTTCTATTTAAAATACATCACTGTTTTTTTTTTTTTGGCAAATTAAGATGTTCATAATGAATATAAGCTAGTGGCAATTTAACGAAATGAAAACAATTTATGCAAAATTCTGTTGTGAGATCAGTTAAAACCACATGAACATCACAAGATACAACTGCAGGGCGAGAAAATAAGGAAAAATAAGACCTACTGGTAGACGGACCTAGTACATCATTGTTGCTGCCAATAATTCCTAGAACTGTGTTAGTGTAATATCAACAATGAAACAAGGAAATAACATCAACATCATAAAGATCACTAATAATGGGCCTTATGTTTATTGGCAATTCACTCCTCCCCATGATGAGATGACAAAGTTCACATTATGGCATTTGCCTGTGTCAATAAGAAAGATGCTATAGCATAAACTGAGACATGCCTAGTATAAATTATGTCCACTTTTTACACTTCAATTGTCAATTGGGTCAGGATGATATACTATCTGCTGATTATCTTGAGAGAGGAGCAACCATAATCTATATTTAATACATTATATAATGTATATATTCACTTATTTATTTTATATTTTATTATATACATGCATATACTGTATATGCATATGTAAATGAACGATCAGCGAAATTACATGTTCAAATTTGAGTGCTGTTATTATTTACATATTTGTTTATTATTACACTCACAGTGCTAACCTAATTCAAATTTTATTTACTGTGTGAACATTTACAAATACATATTTGCTGTAATTTCTATTTTGTGTGTATATATTAAAAACATAAAAATATGAATATAAAAAATTCCACTGCCTATATGTTTCAACAAAAAATTAATACAACCAAAATTTGCAAATTTATAATTTGTTTTATTAAAATCTAAACCTCTAATACACAATTGTGAAATCTATAAATAACATCAAGGTGAAACCACATCATCTAACATCAAAATACAGGCATTACACAGTGGTTGGAATTCCAGAGGAGGCGATGGTGGGGGCGGGGGATACACCCACTTAACACCTCAGTCACACACTTTGGATGGAGCAAATTTAATAGAAACCTCTAGATTGAAATCAGGCACTTGGATTAAAAATGATGTTTATGCAGCATTCACAGAGAAATTTATTGGTTGCTTTTCTGTCTTGGATATCCCGAGACCCCCTGGATCCCCACTACTTACAATGTAAACACTACAAACAATAAAACTAAAGCACATAAGTGGATTCAGCTATCAGATTCCTGCTTCACAGTGTAGTTGTTACAGCTTTTCAAAAATGGTGAAAGGTGCAATACTAAGAACTTCACACTTTCATTGGCCATTTACTGGTCACATCATTCGCCACGTGCATTCTCGTTGATGTGACATCACACCTACATTTTTCTGACCAATTAACATCTCCTAATTAATACATATTCAGTTATAGACAATCACCTGCTTTTGGCTGAGCTTAAGCCAGGCACTCATGATGCCCGGCGGTCGTAGGCAGAAGCGATTCTATAAAGAATGCAACAGGAAGACGTGCGCGCAATGGATAGTTTTTTATGACGATTCATTCAGACTGCTAACAACTATCAGCAAAAGGCGTCGCGTTGTCATACAATGGAGCGAGTACCCGGGTTTAATGCACGTACATGGTTTATCGGTTTATTTGTCAGATAAGGCAAAACATCAAACCATGAATTGATATTGCTGATGCATCGCAAAGTAAAATTTGCACACATGAGGAGTTTGCAAGTGAGGCTGGTGTAATACTGAAAGCTGAATTTACTCAAGCCTCTTATTATCTACATTGATTTTGTAATCAATCAAAATCACATAACAATTCCATTTTCCTTTTTTTAAAATGTATGAAGAATAAATACAATTTGAAAAAAATACAGCAACCAACTAAAAATTATTGCAATACATATAATACAACACCATTATGATACAAATACTATACTATAGCTTTCATCACATGCTCAATTTTCCTTTAACTTATATCTTACTTTTGAAAGCTAAAATGGATGATAATGTAAATGTAAAAAAAAAATCAGTATTTCATACATTTTATTGCTCTACTTTTTAAAGCTAGTAAATAGACCTATATTTATATTGAGGGCAGCCTCTTTGAGGCCACAATGCTAGAACTACCATTCTTAAATACTGTTCAATAATTAAATTAATATATAAAAGAAAAAAGACTGTTAAAGTACTATTGTATTCTAATTGTTAATTTTGGTAAGCAACACTTCATCCTTCAATGCTTGAAGGTACAAAGCCTGAGCTATTCATTCTGTGATTGGTTGTAAATTTCTCATCCAGAGATGACATAGTAGCTGACAATTAGAATGCCTGAACAAGCAGAGCTGCAAATTTTAATATAACTTGTTTAGTATTGCTATTTGAAGTTTTAATAAATAAAAAAACACATACACATACAGATCAGTCATGGCATTTTATATAGTGAAGTGAATCCACAGAACAGGTTCAAAGTTTAATAGCAAAATTTCCAAGGTCTTTCAAATGTTGACAAACTTCATATAAGAAGCGACAATCAACATTCTAGAGATGACATTCAGCATGCGAAAAATCTATCTTCTATACATGGTGATTACCAATAGTGTGAAGAAATCGTCGACTTCTAGATAGGTCAACCTAGTAATCATATGCATTTTCATAATTTATTTATTTATTTTCCATGTACTCTTGGTAGTCCAGTCTCTTCTGTTGCATTTCTGACATTCTACATAATTTGTCATACCCTGGAAAAAATATTAAAATATCTCAGTATTTGTCTTTTGCATATTCAGAGGTTTCATTATTAGACAACAAAAAACAATCAGACAAAAAACATAACTCTTACAATAGTCTTCTTATTTTACCTCATTGACCAAAATATCACATAAAAATGCTGAGCATAAAAACATGTGTTTTTAAACAGTTATTAAAAAACACATGTTTTTTCCAAACAGAAACGGGCCAAAAAACAAAACATGGTTAAAAATGCGTGCTAAAAACATGTGCTTTAACACACATTCGTTACAGGGTTGGCATTCAGAAAACAAGTGTTTTGTGGTACACTTTTCAGCTGCAACGCAATACCGTGTTAGTCATGATCCGTCAGTGACCCAAATTGACCTCTTCGTTGGTTTGATCGCTCGTCCGCAGGAAATTATGGGCGAGAGATGCTTGAGGCTTTACCATAATTTTTCCATGCTTTCGTGGTGTGTTGTTTACTTCTTTCGAAGCATGCGCTGTAGCTCACAGGAAGGTCAACTTCAACTTTTGTTGGTGATCTTCGTTATAAGCTCCGCCCACCTGCCAATGCTCGCATTACCATGTTTTTATTAGTTGCACTTTTCACTAGAAATGTGTTTCAAAGGAATTTAACTGTTCAACATTTTACTAAAATAGATGGTGCAGGACAAAGCGAAACTTATAATAAGGCCCTGCAAAAGCAACAATTACTATTAGGCTAGAGAGATTAAAAAGAACTTGTTATTAATGAGAGTTAGACAGTCTTTATGTTAAAGAATGAATGGAGAAAAAAAAGATGGAAGAGAATTCATGAGATTCAAAGTTCAGACTATGAAGGAGAGTGAGTGGTAGGCAGCACAAACAAAGGAAGTAAAAAAAGTGTACTGATAGTACGAGTTGACCAGATTAGACGAGTAGGCAGAAATAATGCAGATATGCTCATTAGAGCATTTTCCAAAGAAGAGACGTAGAAAATGGAAAAAGCAGCGACACACTGGCGAAGAACAAGCATTTAGTTTATTCTGTATAATCTACGGATAAACCATCTATGATATCTAAAATTATTGGTTAATAATACAGTTTTTTATAAAGAAAAACAAAAAACAAAAACTTACCATAAGGAAAGTACTTCAGTTGCATTTCTATTTCTCTGCTTTCTTTCAAAACCTGAACAGCCTATTAAAGAAATATAAGAAAGGATGAGCACAATTATCACTATCTGATTTTAAGCTGTGATATATAGGCCTACAAATTTACAATTAAAACAGGCATATTTTATGTGCTGTATGTTCTTTTAACCATAAATTATATCATTATATCATTATACATGTTTTAAATTTATTAGGTTCCAGAAACTTAAATATAAAACTAACCCATATAAATCAAATAATTATACATGTTATTTCTTGCAAATTTTTTGATTACAATAATAATCAATCAATCATCAATTTATTCCACATTTCCTTTTTTCATAGCAAATTTACAATTGGTGGAAAAGGAAAAACCACGACAAGCAAAGCTTTCAACAGTGGGTCCCTTTTAAAATAAATTAAATATATACTTATAACCGGTAGAAAAGACAAATAAATAAATAAATAAATAAATACACAAAACCAACTGATGTAAAGAGACAGCACAATTCTATGTGAAGCAATGACTACAGATATCATGCATGCTCATTTGACATCAACACCACTGCCATATTATCCGCAATAAAAACACAAAGGATATAATGTGAAAATATGTAACTGATACTTAAGCATTAAGACTCTCTAGCTCTCACTTTCTACTTATAATATCGTAAATTATAGCTGCCACATGAAACTAAAGAAGGGATTATGCCATAACATTAGACAATTTATGTTCTTGCTGACTTGCTGAGAATGGATAGAAACATTAGAAAGTGGTAAATTGAGCCACAATATGATATTAACAATGAAATAAAAAGTGGACTAATATTCTCAAGTACTAATATTAATAAAATAAGATACTTGATTCATAAGCAGTATAGAACATTACTCGACCAACTGTTTACGTGCTTAAATAAATAATAATAATACAGTATTAAGAAATATAACAAATAATTATATATTATTGTTAATAATGATATTGGTATTCAAACTATTACAGTATGCAATTATAGTCAGGTTCTGAAGACCATATAGAAAATAGAAGCCAATGGGACTATTATTTCCTAAACATTTTTTTTTTTAAATAATGGCTCCTTAGGCTTATATTTTCTATAGGGTCTTAACTTGTCAATAATTGCTTCATAGGTCAGCCACCCAGCTGTTTTGTAGTATTTAGGTTACAGGCCAACATTACTCATTAGCTGCACATATGTAATACATAAAATATTATCAAGATTTAAAAGTAAGAAAAGATATTTCCATAAACACCACATTACATGTTCAATGCCAATAAATGTTTAAAAAATAAACATCAAAAACTACAAGGAGAATAAAAATGTGAAAAAAATGTGAAGATTTATCAAAATCTATTCCAATCTATTCTTTACTCATCACCAAATCAATTTACAAATAAAATTAAAAAAGAAAAAAGAAAAGGACCTTTTATGAAACCCCAATGAACTTGTAAAATGAAAACCTCGATGTAGTAAAATCGTTTAACAATACACAAAACACAAATTCACAAGTACAAAAGACAATACAACGTAACCTACATTAACGAGAGCATCAATGATGCCATAGCGAAACTCATTCCAATAGTAAAAGATATGATATAAAAACATACAATTTCACATATTTCCCCGTCAAAAGACTACCTATAGGCTTAATCGGTAGGGTTTTTTTTTATTTTACAAACAGAAGTTTTATCGGTTGGGCAGTTAATTTCAAAGTTAAGATTAAATCGCCAACTCTTAAATCTACACGGTAAGCATTGGAACCTTGCAGACCCTACAGGATTTCAAGAGCCAAAATAAAAAAAAATAGACGGCTAAAAAGGCTTCGGGAAAACACTGACAATGCAAAACCCCATCTGCGAGCTTTTGCGAACGAGATGCAAAAAATAGCAGGCACTACATCAAATTACTACATAATCTGGGATAGTAAAATTACTTGCAAATGAAAGTGATGATGTCACAACTAACTTTTAACAGATACTTTTTGTGATAAATACCTATTTCCGTCGCATTTTTCTCTCTTTCTGCAGGTCCGTAATTCGGCAAAATTTCTGTAGCAACTAAGGTTTTTTTAATACATTTTTTTTTAAAATGTAATGTCCCCATTTGTGAGTAACATAGTATTATATATTATGTGAAATATGTATTTCTTGCATCTAAATGGTAAAAAGAATCATTAGTATCCTAGCTTACAGGATCTCCCAACCTTAGCTGCTTACCGCATCATGATCCAAGTCAGTAAAGTCGTAGCCATTAACAGTTAAGATTAAATCACCAACTCTCAAGCCCACACGGTATGCATTTGAGTCTTGCAGAACCTACAGGATTTTCAAGAGCCAAAATAACAAAAACTATATTAGTGCCTTAGAAAAAACTAGTAGACTACTTCAGCCAAGGTGGGGATGAGGTAGTCTGCATCCACTCCACTGTTACGTTGCCTTCTGGGCCAACAGGATCCCTAATGCCATTGCCCACATGATTATGGTGGATACACAGTCATTCTTGTACAAGAACTATTTTGTAAAGGTCGAAGATTCAAAAGTTTTCAAAATAAGAGGCTGGAGTTTAAATGCAGGTGGAGCACATTTAATCATTTTTGGTTGGGTTCATAGATGCCTGGAAATGCACTTTCTGGGTTTCCGAGCGGTCTTTTAAAGATTTTAATTACAAAATCATGTTGTTCTTTTTATTGTGTAGCAATGTATTGGTATATAATTATTTACTCATTAATTTTATTTATTTCACTTTGTTTATATTAAATATATACAAAAAGAAAAAATTATAAAAAGATAGTGTTATGTTTCTCCCAAGAGCCAGCATGATTACCAAAAAGTAAAATAAATTACTATCTAGCTGGCTCTCCAACCGATGGGGGAATTATATTGGACGTCACCCATTGTGCTGATAAATCCACTACCATAATGCTTGAATAAGCGCTGCACCAAACCTGATATTTTTTCCCGCTAAACGCCACTCTTGAATAAGTGCCGCTGTGCTTAATCAAGAGTATATTTTACACCGTGTGTAATGGAACCGTTTATGATGACATAATTAATGTCGAAATATTGAATCCTGACACGATGTAATGGAACACTTTGAGAAACAAAGTTTTAAATGCAATGTATATTGTTAAGATGAATAAATAGCACAATATACAGACCAAGCCTTTATTGATAAACGTTAATTTAAGATGACGTAGGACGGTACCTATGATAGGCCTTCTGAACTACAGGAATATGTGAGAAATGTAACATAGGAACGGGCATGGAAAGTGCTATGCCAATATTTTTTATAAGCGCCACTCTTAAATGAGCGCTGCTATCGAATAAGCGCCCCACTGAAGCCTCCAAAAATTGTATAAGCTCCGCAGCACTTTTCCAAGCATTTAAATACTGTATTGTTGTATCAAGTGTCTGCAAATAAAAAAACGTGTGGCAGGCCCAGTATCAGGGTTATTTTATTTCCAACAGCCATAGCCAGAGTATGAGTGCAAATTTAAACTATATGTGAGGCTGAGAGAGAGAGAGAGATTGGATTGGATTTATTCAGTGTAAACACCAAGGGTAGTCTACAAAAGTCTAAAAGAAGACTATTTCCAGTGGGGTCCTTCTGGTGGTGATTGCAGGGGCGGATCCAAAGATGTTCAAAATGGGGGGGGGGGGCCAAAAGTTGGGCCGACGAGACAACACCATCCTAGGGGGTCTGGGGGCATTCCCCTGAAACTTTTGTGTTCTAGACACCCGAAAATAACATTTGAGGCGTTCTGGTCTATCATTTTTTTCTTCTTCTATCTTTTTTTCCTTTTTTTTCCTTTTTTACGTCCCGAAAGGGGGGGCCGGGGCCGGGCCAGCCCACCCCCCACCTTAAATCTATCCCCTACTCTTTTCCAAAGAGTGTACTGTGTTCGTTAACAGGCACATGGGCCATAAATGCACACGGTACCAATGGCTAAAATGTCTCATCCGAAAGACGGTGCGCTATGGTAACTTGTATTTCAGCTCTCCAGCTGAAACAAAAGAAGAGGCAGCAATAAAAATTGAACAGGGGACCTAGAGATCTCCACGGTTCAGCGCACACACAGCGGCTACCACCAGATTAGCCGACTGAAACAGAAACTGTCAAAAAAGAGAATTAAAAAAAAAATAATTCAATCCTTAACAATTATTAAATTGTTAATACTGCAGTAGTTCTTGGTTTAAACAATACATCAAGAGACAAAAGAGTTGTCAATTTATATTATTTACACAAAATTATTTCTTACGCTTAAAGAAATGCTTACCCTTGAAACATAAAGACCGCACCTATGCTCCATACCGCCTTTTATATGAAAACCAAACTGAAAAAAAAAAAAGAATTCAAATGTCCAGAGGAAGAACATAATAATAGTTGAAAGTAGCATATAAAACAATGTACTGTATATACATACCGGATATACTTGCATATGAGACAGGCTTAAAATAGAAAATTACGATTGAAAAACAGGGGGTTGTCTTATACGCACAATATACAAATTTTAGATTTTTTAAACCATGTTTGTCTTATGTGCGGATCGTCCGTAATAGGCACATTTACTACTGCAATGAAGCAACTAAATGTTGGTATGGATGAATGCAAATACGGAGAAATAGGATTTTGATGAACATTTAAAAACCCATAAAATGGTATTGTTTGGAAGATTAGACTCACATTTGGCTCCATTTTTTTTCAGGACCATAGAAAGCAAAAAAGAAAAAGGTAGAAATTCTGACCATGAAACAGAGGGTCATCTTATACGCCCGACACACAAAAATCTTCTCAAACTCGGGATTCGTCTTATACACTGGTCACCTTATACGCGAGTATATACGTTAGGTTTGAGCACTGATATCTGCAATACATTTCCTCCAATTGAATACAATTTTAGTAATTGGATTACTATAACTGGACATACAAGCGAAGATGCATTAAATAACATACAGCACTGTACAATATACTGTATAAGGACAGAATGAAGAGCTGCAGTAGACAAATACTGTCTATTTTTATGTGATGTGTGCTTTTCGTCCTATAATGAGTCTTGTGTAATTGGTTTATTAATTCTATTTATTCATAAATTTAGTGTTTTCTATTTATTTACAAACATATTCAGTTAATTCATTTCATAGGATATTTATAAAACACCTATTTTAGAAAGAATTCTTCAGGACACATTTTTATATTTTCAAATTTTGCTGATTGTTTGAATAATTTAATCTGGTTTGTAATAAACTTTATACTGTGTTTATGTAATTAAATTTTCCTTAAACAAATTAATGTGATATACAAGTGCAAATATGTAATGCATTATCAGCAACACTTCATCAAGCAATCAACTGTTGTCTCGTTCCAGTGGCAAGGTGGAGTGCCCCCAAACGCAAATGCCTGACACCTGTCAAACATCAGAAAAATCCCAACAACTGTCTGATGACCCTCCAACCCAAAATCCAGGAGCCCAGTAAACGACAGTAAACAGGCTCCAACAGTAGAGGATTGCAGCCTAACTAGTGACCAGAAATGAAAAACATTCACAGTAGGCCTACACAGCCTAATGATGTATCGAAAAGACAAACAAATTTACAAG